TTATATAAATAATTAGCAAAAATATTTAGTAAAAAAAATAAAATAAAATAAAGACTAAATACCAGCCCATTGCCAGAGCTGCAGACAGTTGCTTACCCAGCATTCCTCCAGCCACCAGGATGTCGAAGAGTGTCTCAGCATACCGGCGGTAGTCGAGCTTGGCGCCAGAGGCATCGAGGAATTTTGCAACCGCTTCCAAATCTGTGCCAGTTTGGTTCAAGCCTTGAACAATACTTTCTTGAAACTGAGTAGGGTCAAATCTCTCCTTTTCATCTGCGAGGAAACAAGAGAATGTTTCAAATGGGAGGCACCACTTTAAAACACTGTTATTAAGTGTTCCTTAAGCCCTATTCGCACGGGATTAGTATTATCTGGAGACCCTCCTGTTCTTTATGTGCTAGGCATGGTTTAATGCAGTGTAAAATACTATTCAGAGCTCACTTAACCAATGCCCACTTGGCAAGCTTTCACCTGCTGAAGATGAGTTTTATGCAGACTACTTAATATAGTTCATGTGTCTGCAGGTGAATAATGTACAGGGGAGCGCGGGGGTTAGAGGGGTGCTGTGTTGGTATGATAACGCAAAATATACATTTAAAAGTATTGTTTTGACAACTTCACAGAGTAAAATGTCACAAAATGTTCGTAGAGACAAATATTTGCTCGTGTTACTGCTTACGTGGAAGTTTATAAAAAGATCACCCCTCTGTGCTAACAGTGATTCGTAAGTCCGATGCTGGTCATACCATTGTGATGAGGGGTATGATTTCTTTATCGCCAAGGTCGAACCATAAAAAAGCATTTAGTTAAATGGGGTCAACACGAAAACATTTCGTTTGCATATTTTCGTAATTATTATTATTTTTTTGTACTTTACATTTTAGAGTTTGTGTCAAATATGATTTTTATACTTTCATTCAGGCATGATTTTACACTGACATAATGAATCAAATCAATATTTAATGTCCAATTATTTATTTGGTAACTAGTCATGTATATGTGGTCATGTATTATTGCAAAATAAACACCTTTACCTTATTAATAAAAACTGCAAACAATATAAAGTGTTATGCACTTTGATTAACTTTATTTTTCCCACCACAATCACACATTTCAGAACTTGAACACCACCAGAAAGTAAAGACCATCATCACTACTCATCTACAGACACATGACACATATTTAATTATCCCTCATCTTCAGCATCCATACAGCTTGTTGACCCTCAGAATGTCAGTGTTGGACATTCCCTGGCTCTGTCCGATTTCCACCGTCTCATCAGGAATGGGAGTGATGGTTTCCAGGCCAGGCTGGATGGAGAAGGTAGTTTTTCCATAGTGCATGATGGAGCCGTAGTCGTATGGAGTGTTTTGATTGTTGGTGTTTTGTTTCTGGAAGTTTTGGGCCATATCAGGAGAGATGTTCTCCCAGTTGATCATGACGTACTTGTCGCGATCGCTCCTGGTTTGCTCGTGGTAGAAGCCCAGGGCATGAAGGAGCTCATGCTGAACGAGGCCGTGATACACACAGTCATTCCTTCTGAGGGAGACCACCTGTTTGCCACCAGTTCTACCATAAGAAGAGAAGCACCTGAGAGCAGAGAGGAAATAATGGGATTAAATATAATCAATGTTTTGGACTAAGGTCAGGTAAATGTTTTTGCTTATGTATGATTGTTCTCACCCATCTTTGTTCTCAATACTGATGTAGTCGGTCTGAGCTGATCTGGCCACAAAGCGGATGCAGGTTTTGGAGCGAAAGGTGGACATGGCGTTCGCAATCACTGATTTCTCATAAGAAGCTGCAAATAAAAAGACATACAGGTTTAAAATTAGATCTACACGAATGACCAGGGCATGATTGAGCTCATGCTGAACGATGCCGTGATACACACAGCCTTGCCTGTTGAGGGAGACCACCTGCTTGCCACCAGTTCTGCCAAGAGAAGAGTAGCAACTGAGAGGAGAGAAACAAGAGATGTTATACAATATCAACCTGATTTAAAGTTGTGTTGTAAAACTGAGTCCAGAAGGTATGATTGTTCTCACCCATCTTTGTTCTCAATACTGATGTAGTCGCTCTGAGTTGATCTGGCCACAAAGCGGATGCAGGTTTTGGAGTGAAAGGTGGACATGGCATTTGCGATAACTAATTTGTTATTATAGGCTGTAAACAAAAAGGGCCACAGATTTAAAATGAGATCTACATGAATCATAGATTTGTTCAATGATTGAAGGACATTCACTCACAGAATTCACCGCTCACTATGTAAGGGATCTCCACTATGTTGTTAGAGTTTTTCTTCCAGAAACAGTTGTTGTTTAAGCAGTAGAGAGCATTTCTGGTTTTGGGAAACACCAGATCTCCTTCAATCAAGACTTCAGAAGATCCTGTATTAAAGAGAACCATACTAATTAAATAACAGAACATATTTATACATCTTAACCACATTTTACCACTATTTTGTCAAACCCATTGCTGACTTTATAGAAATCTACAAGGTGTCTGACCATTATTGGACTCAGCGCTGGGTTATATTTAACCCAGCATTTTTTAGAGTGTGTGCTATTTGGAGCTTGGCAGTCAGAATCACCACCCCTTGATTCTTGTGTTTCACGGATTAAAATGTCATAACGTTTTGGAGAGACATGAGGGTGAGAAATTATGGTATTTTTATTTTTGGGCCAGCTATTCTGTTTATATAACTCTAAACATACAGTATTAGTAGTATCACTTGCAATTCATTTAAATTGGGGAACATTTAAGAGCCCTATTTGTATACTTACATTTGTTGTTCTGTATTTTCACAACACATATACAGATGATAACAGCAGAATGTAAGGCTACAAAAAGTGAATTCTCTTTTTATTTTCATTATTCACCATAAACAAGCTAAAAGAAAAGAAAGTTTGAATGAAAAAACAATAACTTACAATAATGCAGGCTTTTGTTTCAGATTAATTTGTGTCAGCTGAAGTAATACATTTAAATTATGTTTTTTTTCTTCTTCATTATTTATCATTAATTACGACTCTCTCATAGCAGCTTTAGGCCAGTGAAGCAACCTTATTGTTGAGTCGCGGGAGGCCCCAGAACTTTAAGCATTGAAAAACAAAACTGCTTCCATTTCAGTGGAACTGTATATTTTGTTCTCTAGTCCAGTTATTTTACTCAGTTGCTGTGATAATAATAATAATAATAATAATAATAATAAGTTATAATAAATTGTATTTATATAGTGCCTTTCCAGTTCTCAAGCATGCTTTATAATATGCTTAATAAATGGACGAAATATTTCTTTGGTCCTAATCGAATTGATAATTTGGTCCCTGCACCTAAAACCCATGTTAATTTTGATGGATCAGTTCAGCAAATGTAAGAACCATTTCTGATTCTGTACATTTTTGTAGTAACAGGCGAGGTCAGAGTTTCCTCCATGTAGTTACACACATTAGTCTCTAGACACTAAGACCCTACCCATAATCCCCCAGTAGACCAAACGTAAGAACCAATGCGGTTTGTGAGCAGGTTCTTCTTCTCCTTATATGCTGTAAAGTGCACTAACTTTGCTGCACTTAAACAAAACAAATGATTTGTCATGAACACCAGATACGAACGGAACATGACTGTTTTAGTGAATACAACTTCAATTACAGTCTGTTTTTAACAATCACATTAATTCAGAAGACTTGGAATAATGCACACAAATCACCAACCGCTGGGTCAAAACAACCCAATAGCTGGGTTTGTCCCTTTTTAACCCAGCGCTGGGTTATATTTAACCCAGCATTTTTTAAGGTGTGTGCTTTTTGGAGCTTGGCAGTCAGAATCACCACCCCTTGATTCTTGTGTTTCACGGATGAAAATGTCATAACGTTTTGGAGAGACATGAGGGTGAGAAATTATGGTATTTTTATTTTTGGGCTAGCTATTCTGTTTATATAACTATAAACATACAGTATTATTAGTATCACTTACAATTAATTTAAATTGGGGAACATTTAAGAGCCCTATTTGTATACTTACATTTGTTGTTCTGTATTTTCACAACACATATACAGATGATAACAGCAGAATGTAAGGCTACAAAAAGTGAATTCTCTTTTTATTTTCATTATTCACCATAAACAAGCTAAAAGAAAAGAAAGTTTGAATGAAAAAACAATAACTTACAATAATGCAGGCTTTTGTTTCAGATTAATTTGTGTCAGCTGAAGTAATACATTTAAATTATGTTTTTTTTCTTCTTCATTATTTATCATTAATTACGACTCTCTCATAGCAGCTTTAGGCCAGTGAAGCAACCTTATTGTTGAGTCCTGATGGGTTTCCTTTGAACTCAACTTTGAACAGTTGTTGTACTGCGACCCTTTACTAAATTGCAGTTAAGAACAAAGAAACATTTAGCCCAATTATTATGAAGAATCCCAACAACTGATTAAAGTAACCGGACTACATAACAAAATATACAGTTCCGCTGAAATGGAAGCAGGTTTGTTTCTCAATGCTTTAGTATGCTACTGTTCTTGGGCACTAAGAAAACAAAAACTACAGCATGTCTACTTTAGTGTTAAAACCAATAAATAGAGTAAACTTAAATGCATTGTCTGTTTCTGCAAGGATTTGGACTAACAAGTAAGGTTAGAGTTTCCTCCCATTAGTTACACACATTAGTCTCTGGACACTAAGACCCTACCCATAATCCCCCAGTAGACCAAACGTAAGAACCAATGCGGTTTGTGAGCAGGTTCTTCTTCTCCTTATATGCTGTAAAGTGCACTAACTTTGCTGCACTTAAACAAAACAAATGATTTGTCATGAACACCAGATACGAACGGAACATGACTGTTTTAGTGAATACAACTTCAATTACAGTCTGTTTTTAACAATCACATTAATTCAGAAGACTTGGAATAATGCACACAAATCACCAACCGCTGGGTCAAAACAATCCAATCTCACACAGGAGCATCCTGAACATCGCTACACACTGAGACGACATGGACACAAGAGCCTCCCTCTCCATTCTGCTGCTGCTGTTTGGCGTCTCACAAGCGTCTCCTCTCATGGTAAGATCCGGTCTAGTGTCTCTCTTAAATAATCAACGTTCCTCAAATGAGTCATTTTAAACATCTCTGTTTCTTCAACCAGGAGGAAAGTTTTGAAGGAGTGTTTGTGTCAGAGCCGGAAAGTGTGGACATCACTACAAGGATTTTGGAGTCCAACAATGGTCAGACACCTTGTAGATTTCTATAAAGCCATCAATGGGTCACATTTCTAAAAAGTGTTCAGAGTTTATAAATATATTGTGTTATATCATCAATGTGGTTCTTTTTAATACAGGATCTTCTGAAGTCTTGATTGAAGGAGATCTGGTGTTTCCCAAAACCAGAAATGCTCTCTACTGCTTTAACAACAACTGTTTCTGGAAGAAAAACTCTAACAACATAGTGGAGGTCCCTTACACAGTGAGCAGTGAATTCTGTGAGTGAATCTCCTTCATTCATTGAACATATATATCATTCATGTAAATCAAATTGTAAAGCTGTGGCCCCTTTCGTTTGCAGCTTATTATGAGAAATCAGTGATTGCGAACGCCATGTCCACCTTTCACTCCAAAACCTGCATCCGCTTTGTGGCCAGATCAGCTCAGACCGACTACATTAGTATTGAGAACAAAGATGGGTGAGAACAATCATACAAAAGCAAAAACATTTAACTGGCCTTAGTCCAAAACATTGATACTATTTACCCCTTTATTTCCTCTCTGCTCTCAGGTGCTTCTCTTCTCTTGGTAGAACTGGTGGCAAACAGGTGGTCTCCCTCAACAGGAACGGCTGTGTGTATCACGGCATCGTTCAGCATGAGCTCAATCATGCCCTGGGCTTCAACCACGAGCAAACCAGGAGCGATCGTGACAAGTACGTCAAGATCAACTGGGAGAACATCTCTCCTGATACGGCCTACAACTTCCAGAAACAAAACACCAACAACCAAAACACTCCATACGACTATGGCTCCATCATGCACTATGGAAAAACAGCCTTCACCATCCAGCCTGGCCTGGAAACCATCACTCCCATTCCTGATGAGACGGTGGAAATTGGACAGAGGCAGGGAATGTCCAACACTGACATCCTGAGGATCAACAAGCTGTATGGATGCTAAAGATGAGTTTTATATGTATGTGGTGTGTCAGATAATTTAATGTAGTTCACATTCCCGTAAATGAAGAATCGAATGAGGTGATGGTCTTTGTCTTTTGTTGGTATTAAATTTCTAGGAAAAATCAAGTTAATAATAAAAAAATTAACATCCAGTAAAATGATGTGTTTTTTCTCTTTAAAATGAAATGTCTGATTTCATAAATTATCAGAAGACACGTTTCCTTAGCCTTTCTTCTGTCCTCTGACATAGATGGGGAGCAATTACGTATGTTAGCATGAAACGGTGTGCGCTGATTGTCATAACAAAACAAAG